TGTCCAAGTGTGCCATTTGGAGATGCCAAATGGAGACTCTGAATGGCACACTTGGACAACACCTGTACATCCTCATAAATAAAAATGTCCAAAATGACATTTCTTTTTGTGTTATTTTGATCAATCTTGAAATTCATGAGCAGAATACTTTATTTTACAGAGTTATTGTATTTTCCAATCCATACATTCAACACTCAATGCTGAGTGTTGAATAAATAAAACTGAAAAATCTGGGTGAAGCAAAATTTTTCAATTTTTTTTTTGTGTTACAAATGTATTAGCTACAAACTACTTACAGTCAGAGTATTTTTGACTGCAAAAATTGAAAATTTAGCTTGTCTTCATAAAGAGTCCAAGCATTTGCATGTACTCCAAATTGTTCAAGAACAGCAGCTAATTTAATTTGGGTATGCCTTTTCAGCCGTTTTTGGGACCGCCAGTTAAGGGGTTAATAAGTTGCAAAGATTTTTCTGAAAACTTTTACCAGAAGAATGACAGCAAATAATTGAACATGACATAAAACATGTCAAGAAAGACACAGTACAAGGAAACCCTGTAGAGGTTCATTACCACCAAAGACAGGAAGAGATGGCTGCTCTGAAAATAAATGAACTAAGCAAAAGTCAAGCTGCTTGAGGGGGAGAAAAAAACCTGAAATGCAAAATATGATTGCATTAGCTGCAGGGCAGAATATCAATTGCCTTGGTCTATAATTTAATAAGTCTCTAATTAAGTTAGTGTCCAACTTTTTGGAGCCTGTCTGACTCACTGGGGAGTTTGTCCCAGTCTGCAGAAGCTCTGTGCTGAGCTGTCTGCCTCCATCCTCACTCCTCCATCTCATAATGACAGTGGTAGCAGAGATAAGTGAAATATGGCAAGTCAGACTGGACTAACTGTCTTCCTTAAGCTCCCTGCTACAAGGTAGGTCACATCAGACGGCCGTTTACTCTGCGGTCGGACACATCAAGTCTAATGAGCCACAACCAGATGGAAACAGATCATTAATGATGACCTGATATTGCAGTCTCAGGGGATAATAACTAATGCAGTGGTTCCCAAACTTTTTCTTCTGCGCCCCCCCAGTGGTTTCCAAACATTTTCTGCGCCCCCACCCTATGGATTACAAATGGCTGTCTGGTTGAAACGACGCGTGTGAGGGGGGGCATCGACTTTTTTGGGGGCAAAATGAATGTACGTAGCTGAAAATAGACACCAACATCGGTAGCCTACAAGGTACTTGTTAAGCTTAAGGTTCTGTATTGATATGAGCTAGCTAGTCATCTTTTAGCTAACATTACCTGCATCCAACAGCTTTACTCACCTCAGTCGGTTAGTTTGGAGGGAAAAACTGAGAAAATTTCTTTGCGTTTTGCTGGTTTGCTGCCGTGATTCTAACACAAACCTATGTAGCTCCGCACAGCAGCAGCAGGTCTCCTTCACAGGTGTAAACCCAGCGCTAGCATCGTAGCGCTCATGTTGAGTTTAAAGGCGGCTCGGAAAAACAGGTTACAACATGTTAACAGTTTTAACTGCTGATAAAAGTGACAGAGGACACAAATATGGGAAGTGTGGAAGCCTCTACTGTATCAAATTGACATAGGAATAACAGAGAGTAGGCCATTCTAAGGTAAAAACCCAGCGCATACAGTGTTCATGTTTTCTTTTTTTCATCTAGACGGCTTCCCGCGTCCCCCCTGCAATGACACGGCGCCCCCCTTAGGGGGTGCGCCCCACAGTTTGGGAACCTCTGAACTAATGTGACATATTGTGTGGCTGGCAGTGGATGCATGATTTTGTACTTGTCTACTGATGAGGGACATCTTTTGGAAAATAAATTATTCGTT